CAGTACAAGAGAGACATGGACACAGTGGAGCAAGTCCATCAGCGGCCTACCAAAATAATTAAGGGACTGGAGCATCTCTCATAGGAGGAAAGGCTGAGAGAGCTGGAGCTGTTCAGCTTAGAGAAGAGAAGACTGGCGGGGGGGATCTTATCAATGCTTTTAAATATCTGAAGGAGGCTATAAAGAGGATGGGGCCAGACTCTTTCTGAGTGGTGCCCAGTGACAGGATGAGAGGCAACGGACACAAACCAAAACACAGGAAGTTCTGCCTGAATATAAGGAAAAACTTCTACACTGGGCAACCTGTTCCAGTGCTCGGTCACCCTCACAGAGGGCCTGCAGAGTCTCCGTCCTTGGAGATATTCCAAAGCCGTCTGGACATGGTCCTGGGCAATGTGACCCCGTTTGAGCAGGGAGGTTGGATTAGATGATCTCCAGAGGTCCCTTCCAACCTCAACCATTCTGTGATTCTATGATAATATCTTATCCTATTGTTCCTGAATTTGCAGGAAAATTAGAATATTTTTCCTAGTTTAATTATATTTGTTTAATTATATTTGTTCAAATATATGCTTTATCTTTTGTCTTTCCAATAGTTTGCAAGTATTAAATATCATGATGGATGCAATAACTATGCTGTAGAATATAAAAACAAATATACTTTCCTTAAGGCAATGTTCCAAAGGCTTTATGTTTTTTATGTGTTTGTGAGGCATAGAAAAAAATATTCATTTCTACAACACTTTTAATGAGCCTTCGTACTGTTTGACCAGATTTTATATAATGTGTATTGCCAGGGAGCTTTGTTTTTCCCTGGAGCTTTGTGATCTCTACTATTGTTTATAAATCTCGTTCAAACAGCTTAATGTGTTTCCCCCGGATGTACCTATAGCTACTAGTCCATTATGTCCTACAAAGGCTCAAACAATGTCCGAGTCCAGATTACAATATTCTTACTGGCCTTGAGCCAATCTGCAAAGGAAAGAAGGTTTAGCTATACAATTTCATTCTGAAAAGAGTTTTAAATAAGTTGTCGACATAATTCACAATCCCTAGAAGACTCCAGTTCGTGTCAGGTCAATATGCACACAATGAGTTGGATACAAATGAATTAGTTCTATTAGTGCTCACATTAGGATATTCTAGTAAGAGTATTCCTGCATATACTTTTTATGTACATGTGAGAACATTTAGTTTGACATCAACATCTACAATTCATTTAATTAGGATAAAGGCAGACTTTACTGTAGGCCAATATGAGTGAGAAACAGCAAAGGTTTTGACTGTCTGTAAGGCACAAAGAGATCCTAAAGGTTTGCACGAGTATAAGAGAAACAGAAAATGAATTTGACAGATGTGTATGCAAGCGCCCAAACGCCTGATGGATTCAGTATTTTAATGTACTACCACTTGTTATTTTGTACCAACGGAACAATACTCTTCACTTGCTGGATTAAAATCCTATTGTCATGCAGTTATTGAAATTCTAGAAGGAATGCAGAATAACCCACATATGACAAAAGTATTCCTTTGTCACGCATCTCATGGTTACTCGATCTTTAATTAATTGGTTTTAATACCCTACCTATGCTATATCTGCATTCCAAACTCCACCTGAAAACACTGGAAAACCAAAAAAATATTGGTGAATACAAACTCTTCCCCAGTTGCCTTCTGCCTAAGAATCTGAACACTAATTGAATTTCACTAATTATGCTTACTCCACTGAAAATCAACATGATTTTCAAATCAATTATAGCTGAAATCATACATACTCTGAGGAAACCTGGGTGGATTGTCGTTGACATCAGTGAGCGTGATATTTACAGTTGTTGACCCTGAGAGTCCTCCGACCTGCCCAGCCATATCTTTGGCTTGAATGACAACAGAATAATGCTCTCTGGCTTCCCTGTCCATGTTGTGCAAGGCAGTCCTGATGACTCCTGTGGTGGGAAGAAAAAAAAAAAAAAAAAACAGAAGAAAAATCAGGGTTAGCTTCTTGTGGCAAAGGAAATGGCTGGGCATAACCCTTCTGTTTAGGGAAGGTCGGGCATGAGAGATTTTCTGGAAACGCAAAGCTTTTCTGCAAACAAAATAAGCTGTTTCTAGCTGATATTCAGAGTTATAAACCAACTGGTGACCTCCTGCGTGCAAACAACTAATGAATAATGGATTACATACCACACTCCACAGAGATGCTTGAGAGTACTTCACTGGTTGTCTCTTTGTTTGTTTGTTTTTTAATATAACACTACCAGATGCTGCGGGATAGCCAACTTGCTTGAGGTTATGAAGAAATTAAAACTATCTATGTTACAACATACATAATAATATACTAATAAATATTTACTCCAACTTATGTAACATTCCTAGCCAAAAGCTACACTGCCAAAAGTCTAGTGAGTCTAGTGTTTTCTGATACACGATAACTGTTTAAATATCTGCTTTACAGAAATATTAAAGAATGAGATTTCATGCCCCACTGAAGAAGCCTCAGATTCCTATACTTTAACAAAAGAAGTTATTTTCTGAATGCAATGTGGCATTCCTCTTAAAATTACCTAAATATTAGATTTTCCTATTTGATAATCTCAGTCGTACACATTGGTACTCATAAGCGTGACTTACCTAATACTTGTCTGCAAGGTGAAAGATAAGCTCTTATTCTTTTTACTACTTTCTTCAGAGAAAAGAAAATCAGAATTGAGTGATTCTATTCATTTTCATGCATCATCATCAGAAACATTTCCTTACATTTAATCAGTTACACATGCACAAGCAAAGACTACAATAAGGGTGCTATAATCACCTTTGTGGACGGAGTTTCAGCTGTGGAACTTGTTTTACTCATGATGAGTGCTGCAAAGAAAGACCCCTGCTGATTTCTTTGATCACAGGCAACCAGGGACCTCAAAAAGTTCAACAAAGGGAAATGCAAAGTCTTGCACCTGGGTAGGAATAGCCCCATCACCAGGGGGCTGGGGGCTGAGCAGCTTTACAGAAAAGGACCTGGGGGGTCCAGGTGGACAAGGTGACCATGAGCCAGCAGTGCACCCTTAGAGCAAACAAAGCCAACTGCGTCCTGGGCTGTGTTAGCAAGAGTGTCGCAGGCAGGTCCAGTGAAGTGATCCTTCCCCTCTATTCCATACTTGTGAAACCCTATCCGGTGCTGGCCTCCCCACTACATAAAAGACATTGATGTACTCGATCGTGTCCAGTGGAGAGTTACTAAGATGGTCAAGGGGCACACAATGTACGAGGAGAGGCTGAGAGAGCTGGGTTTGTTTAGCCTGGAGAAGGCTGAGGGTAAATCTTAGTGCTGTCTGTAACTACCACATGGAAGGGTACAGAGAAGACAGAATTGGATTCTTTTGGGAGACGCATGGTGATGGGATGAGATGCAATGGACACAATTCAGAATACAGGAAATTTCACTCACATATAAAGGAAAATAATCATAGTGAGAATAAATAAATAGCAGAACAGGCTGACCAGAGAGGTGATGGGATCTCCATCCTTGGAGACATTCAAAACTTGATGAGACAAGGCGCTCAGCAAGCTGATCTTACTGGACTTGCTTTGAGCAGGGAGCAGGCCCCTTCTAAGTTAAACTGTTTTGCAGCTTACAGGGGTGAATGTCAGGAAAACAAACACCCACTTTTCTTTATAACTTTATAAGTTAATATCAGTATCACATATCACATTCCAATAAAAACAGAATTCCTCTAATTTTTAAAGTACTTGAAATAAATAGAAATAAAACAGAAAAACGAGAAAATATAGTCAAACATTCTTAAAAGAAAAAATGAAAAATAAGTGAAATGTTACATTAATTAATATTAAAATTTCAAAAATCTAAATGTTTAGCATAACTTAGTTTTGAATCCTTAAACTGAGTGGTTGTTATAGCTGGTAAGAAACTATAGCATAGCATGATCAAATTTTGTTTCTGGGAAAATTTTAAACATGTAATAGCCATTAACAAAAATCAGCTTAATAAGAAGAGTCTTGATCTTCCAGGCAATCTGCTGTACTGTATAACTCCCAAAGTCTGTGATCACACAATGTCAGATGATCCAAAAAATAATTTCCAACTTCAGTTGTATTTTAAATTAATTTATTTGCATGTCTTCAGTAAAACTAGTCAGTCAGTCATTATTACAAGAGAAATGGAAATTTTCATGTAGTCACTACTTCCATCCTAGTCTGAAAACAGATCACACATATAAATAAGTGCACTATACACAAATAATAATATTTTAAACGGTGTGTACAGTGTTGAGAATGGTCTTATCTCAATTTTGCACCTTTTCGTCAGAAGCTTAGACTCTGGTCAAGCTGGCTAAAAAGAGTAAACCTGTATGTTTTACTTCATTGACGTGTTTTTCCTTTATATATGTAGAAATGGATTTTTTTCACAAATTTCCCCTTAAAAATTGAGGCTAAGCTATCTAAGCACAACTTACACATACATATTATATTAGAAAGACACGGAAACATTTGGATAAAACTGCTTTCTCATACAACTGAACTATGCAGTTTCATCAAAATCAGTAAGCTTCACAAAATCTGTTCTACTTCCTGAAATTCCATTTTACTGAAAAATAGGAAAGTAAAGAAGTCTTATAACTCAAAATATCCCGCTTTGACATTTTTCAAATAAATTGCTTCAATTTTTTACATTGAAATAATGTTTCATGTTGGCATTTCCTCATTCTCCTTTTAATGATCTAATGGAAATGAAAGTTGAAATAGAGGCCAAATTTATTGGAACTGTTAATGTGTACGTACATGCATGGAGGGAGCACAGAATTTTTTTTTTTTTTTCTTTTTAAAGCTTCCATTTCAATTGAAAGCAGACTGACTTTCACAAAATGGAACCTCTGTCTTTATACAGCTTTCATAATTATACTAGTCACTAAAGTTTCTAAACTACTTCATACAAACAGAAATCCCTCTGAATTACAATTCCTTCCTGCTTACTCTTTGCTCCAAGACAGTACTGTACTGAGCTAACTCTTCTAAAGAGTTAATAAGGACCTGTGGAACAAAACGATCCCTAATCTCTTGCTCTCTCTTGCATCACATTCTTCTTTTCAAATAAAAATGGGCATTTTTTTCAATTCCAAAAGGTTGAATTCAACATCTAGGATAAGTGGACTGGATTTAAGTTTAGGGTATGCTGAAGGAAAGGAGATGAGGGAAGGTTTAGTTCTCCCTCTTTTCTTGGTTGAATACACATAGGTAATTCCTAAAATTACACCATCAGTATGAGTTAGGTAACTACAATGAAGTCCTAATGCTTTAGCCTTGGTTCTAGCAACTGCTCCAATTGTTTTGGCAGAATAGCTCTAAAATCACATATAATTTCAAATTTCTCCAATGAGCCCAAAAGTTCTAAGGGAAATTTCCTTTGTTGTTTTTTCCGAGAGTATAGTATGAAATACTCCAGCAGTTCCTTTTTTTAGTAGGAATTGCCCCTGAGTATCTTGAGTATTCTTGGCAGGGGCCCTTAAACATCACATAAGAAAAGAGAAAGTTCACAATAAGGAGGACCATGTCCCTGTTCAAAACTAGGAGGAAAAGAAAACTGCCACAGACCTTTTAAATTTAAATACAGCTTAAATCTTGTCTCATACTTGCTAGGCATTACTGCAACCCTATTAAGGGACTGCTTTTTCAGCTTTGTTTCCAGTATTTTTTCATCTTCATTAAGACAGTAAAGCAAGAAAAAAATACAATGTGTACATATTATAGGCGCACCCCACCTTGTTGCTCGTATCAGGCAAAGAACTTTTGCAGAATTTTGATTACTATGTTAAAAATCACATACATCACTTGGCATTTTGGATCTACTGGAGTGGAGGTGTGAAGGGCACACAGCTGGTTGGACCTCTGGACTGCTAAGTCCACTCATCCAAGGTCCATCTTAAAATTAGGTGGGAGATGTTTCTCCACACCTTCCTACACCTTTCCTGTTCCTTCCTATGTGGAAGGTTCTCCCAGAGCATATTTTTAATTCCATTTCCTGTCTAATTTTTCTCAACTCTAAATCATGCTAATCTGTTTTTGTGTTTTTCCAAAAACTTCAAGGCCTCTTCTTTACCCCAATATATCAGTAAACACCACCCATATCTCTTGTCAGCTTTTGCTGTGGTAGGCTAAACAGATTAAGTTCTTCCAGACCTCTCTTGTGATTTAGGCTCATCATTTCCCTGATAATTTCTCTAGTCTTGGACTGCACATATTCCAATTTGAATTTATCTTCCGTGAATATAGATCACCGGGATCCTACCACATTACATCACATTGTTTATTCATCTGTGATTGACTAATATACCAAGGACTTTCTCCTCCAACAACACTTCCAAATTAATGAGACCAACATTATTGTAGATAGTCTTGTAATTAGTCCTATAACATGGCTTTAAACATTGTACTATTACCTTTCATTGCATTCTTATTACTCTTGACCTCAAAGTCATAAACTTTTCCTCTGTATCGACAATTCCTCACAACTTTTTGCCATCAGCAAATTTCATCAGCACAGTCCTGCATTTATCCTCAAAACATCAGACAAAATTGACCAAGAAGAAAATTGAGATGTCAGGCTCTGAAAAAAGATTGATATTTCTACTACTTTGGATAGTTTCTTTTCTTTCCTCTTTCCCATCACCTTTAGATTTCAGATAGCCCTGAAAATAAGTATATTTTTGGTAATTTCTACTTCCTTCTCTCCGAACCTATTCATGATACTGAGCCTCAATCAATTCCTGGTTTTCTCAGGTCTTTTTCTTGTAAGCTGCTTCTATACGCTGTGGCATCTGACAATGTGTCATGTTGTCATTTTTAGTGTTCTGTGTAGAAACAGTTTATTAGCATGTACGGAGAGATACAGCTAAAGGCTCAACTGTAACTGAGACTGTAAAAATCAAGATTTTTT